TGTTCTGTAGCTGCTGGCTTGTCTAGCTCTTGAAAATGTGGAGACTGGGTGTGGGGGTGAGTGACCGAAGGTGCTAAAATGCTGCCTGGGGAAGTTACTGGGAAAGAAATGCTTTCCTTTCCTCTGGTTTTGTCTTATGGTGCTTGGAACCCTCCGTTTCACCTTTCAGAGCTGTGAAAAGAATGCTAGGACTTCTCACAGAAGATAGAGATGACTTACCCCCTCCCCCCTTTTCTTTTGTTATACTGGTAGCAGAAACTAAAATCTAGAAATAAGAAAATTGCAAGCCATGATGTCCATGTCTTGCCACGGTGGACGCTGAAGTTTCCAAGTGCAGTCTTGCTTTTTAAATAGCAAAATGATGACTTGTAACTGTTGTGGTTTTTTTTTTCCCTACCATAGCAACATATCAATTAGTATCTCACAGCTACCTCTTAACCAGAAGCAATCCAAACACAGATAGAAAGAGGTGGCATGTATTACAGATACTTATGCTTTTGTATGGCTCTCTTGTTCGACTGAGACATAAGGATATAAATTTTTATAATCCTTGGCAGTAAGCTGTTTTGAAAAATTGCTAATCTTTTCCACCTCCTTTCCCAGTTGTCAAAACTATCATGATTATAACTTACTGCATTAAAGAAGGTTAATTGTCTACTTAAAATCCTGGGCTGGAAGTCCAGGAGGTATGTTTCCATTACTTCCGCTGTAGAACGCTCACATGGATTTAGGGTAAGTCGCTAAATCTCTTCGCCTCATTTTTTTAATCCGTAGACGAGAGCTAGGTTTTTATATTCTCACAAAAGCATTCGGCTTGTGTCTCCGTGGGGGCATAGGAACAATACTGCAGTACAAATAGAATAATTTCTGTCTGGAAAGAAATGCTGGTTTAAACACTGAATTACTGTTTTTTACTGTCCTAATTGGCATCTTCAGCTAAGGTAGCAATGCTGTGCTCGCGGAGTGTATGGCAAAATGGTCGTCTTACCTTGCTTCACGTAATTTTACTTCTGCTTTCTGGAGTCTTGTAACTGCTGCTCTGTGACACCAACTGTAGGGTAGATTTCTAATATTATGAATAATACTATAAATATGAACCTTTTTTCCCCTCACTTTCTATAAAAACATAGAGTGAAACCATCACTGTGGATTATTTGAGGGAATTTTGTTAATTAGGATTGCATGAGAATTCAGGCTTCTGAGCTGTCATCTGTCCCATCCCTTTCTCAAGCGCTGGAGGTTTCCGTAGCTTCTGATTTCACAGTTGCCTTAAATAACTGACTTACTCCATCAAGACATCTTGGGGATAATGTTCTGGAGTCAGATTTTGCAGTCCTGCATGTGTCTGGTGAGTTTTTCTGCTCCTACGAGCAGAATGTGGCCCTGGTCTCAGGTCTGATCCTTCCCGTCCTCACGCAAATGAGTGCAGTGGACTCCAGTGGGTCTGCTCTGTGAGTGAGGAGTCAGCTGTGGCCGTGCTTCTTTAGGCTGTGGGTTCCGAGATGGAGGGTTTCAGCTTTCTCTTACATAGGTTGGAGACAGAGTTTATAGGTGTTGGGTTCTCACTGAATGTTTCTTGGGGGGTAAAACCAGAATGTCTTGAATGAGCAGTAATTGCAAGTGTGAAAGCTGTTTGTGTGTTGCTCTAGGTAGTCACCTATAGCCCTCGCTGACAGTACAACTAGAGCTCTGTGAACTTTGAAAACGCCGTTTAGTTGCTAACACTGCTATGCTAAAGTGTGTTTGTGTAGCAGGATCTCTGCTCTTCAGTTACTGAGGATGCCGGTACACTTTTTGGGTGTAAACAAGAGACTTGGGAAAGAATGCCATGCATCCCACTCCTGAAACTGGAGCTGTGGATGTTTGTGTGGAAGAGCAACACGGCACAAATGCTCGATTTTGTTTGTGCAAATGAGAAGGCCTTTGTGATGCAAAGCAGCATCCTGAAAAGGCAAATGTGCTTTTTTGGTTGTAAATATCCCAGCTAAATACTGCAGTAATTGCAAGCAGAGCTTGGCATTTTTCCTCTCTATTCTCTTCATCGTTATATTTTAACAAGTTCTCATGAGACTACTAAAACGTCTTAGCTTTTGGAACATGTGGCCTAGTGGGGATAACTCTGTCTGCAGATGCAGTGGGTTGGCAGCTCGATTTTGCATGTCTTTTCATTTCCCTCCAGATCCTGTGACCCAGTGTAACCTTTGGTCTCCCTCTGAAGGCCGGGGTGAAGGAAGTATGAGCAGGTGACTGATGATCACTGTCAATACAGCCTGCAGACAATATGGGAATTACTTTAGCAGTCTCCCACTCCCTTGTGCTACCCCCATCCTCTCTTAAATCAACAAATGCAAATAGCAGGCTCCTCATTTGCTGCTATCTCTGGGAGGCTGCCCGGGCAGCATGGGCTTTGTTGCAGTCTTGCCTATTGAAAAAATCAGCTTCAGCCCTAGGCAGAAGGAAAAATACCAAATGGGACCCGACCCTCCCCCTTAATGGTTAATGCTGCTAATATTTGGTCCTCTGGCGTATACAGGTAGGAAGATGCTGAGATAAGGGTACTTGATGTGTGTGTTTCAAGAGGGCAGCCTGAAGTGGTTGGAGCTGTTTGCGTTGTTACTCTTTGTCGGGTAAATGTTCTTCTGGAAGGGAGTAGAGATTGCCCAGTGTCCTGAAACTCATACGTGTGCTCCTAGAACCTTTTGACGTAGCAGTTAGCTGTGTACTTAACCTTAGCTGTGTCTTTTCTGTGTAAGAACAAAATGTGTTGGCTAGATTTCAGCATAGGCAAGGGTACAAAGGATTTGTGAACCAACATTTCCTTAAAAGTTCGTGATCGTTTTGTTAAACGCATAGTTGTGTGGCACAAATGCATAAGAATAGTTGCATTTTACACTGGTGTAAGCCTAGTGCAGGCTGCAATACGTAGTACGGCATACAGTTGATACTGTTTTGCTTTCCGGATGTTCCAGTTGTCATTCAGCAATTTGGAGACCTAAGAGTAATGCTACGCCAGCATTTGGTTAAAATCCTGTTCATCTTATTTTAAGCTGTCATTGCATATGAAAATTAGTTTTGGCATACATATGTAAAAGGAAAGTGTTCACTTTGCACATCCAGAAGGTAGGTGGTCCTTCTCAGATACCTAGTGATATCACGTCTGTATTTGATGAATTAGGATTGCAACCAGCCGTAACGAAGATATTTCTTCTCAACTGCCATTTAGGAGTATTAGATTTGTCACCGAATCAGACAAATAACAATGTATGTAAATGCTCTTACAGCTTTAAAAATGTGTGTCGGTAGGACTTGTATCTTAGAAGTCTGTTTGCAGTGTGTATTTCATCTTACTGTGACATTTTCTATTGAAAATACTTAATAACAGTTAACTCCCGAATAAAAATTCAGAGTTAAAGTAGTTGTAAAGCTGGGTGCTGGACTGTTAAGGTGAATATCACTCATAGAGCTAGGCATTAAAATTGTTATGCAATCTAAGTATGTTCTTATCTGAAGATCTCATTTCAGATGTATTTTGAGTTTTATTTTGTGTTTTATTGGCTTACCAGAAAGCCTCAACATCATAATATTTTAGGAGAAGGAATGTTCCAAATTCAAACAAATCCAGGCAATTAGCTCTTAGCAGCTCCTTATGATCCACTTCCAGTCTGCAGTAGGGCTTTGGCTCAGGCACTGGTGACTGACACAGTCAAACCCCTCTTGAACTGTAACTTGCAATACTTCTAAGTTGTGTCACATTATGTACTTAGTATTTAAGGTTAGGAGTTTCATCATCAGCGAAAGGCTGTGGTAGAGCAGTGTGATAGTAGAAAGCCATCTAATTTTAGTGTAAAGGCTTCAAATGATTTCAAATATACTATGTTACTTTCCCAAATCTCTCTCAACAGGGGTGGTTTGATATCACAAAATCTCCCATTCTTATCTTCTACTTACCTCTTCTGCCACTTCTGCATCTGCCTGCCTGCCAGCAATCAGTCCAAAGAAACAGAGTATTTGTTGGACTTTTTGGACTTTTAGTACTTGATTTTTCTTAGCCACGGGTCCTGCTGTAGCATGGTGCAGTTTAGCTTTTCATTGATATGTCCTTATCCGTAGGTTCTGCTTGGCATCCTTCTGGTGTTTTACTAGGTCCATTGTAAAGGGAATCGTTAAAATAAAATCATCATCATTACTTGAGGGAAGAGTGAGTGGGGTAGAAGAGTGCTAACTGGGAAGTTCTGTTCAGTGACATCTGCTTACATCTTGTAGCTTCACACCAGATTATAATACAGTCACATTGTAACATATCGGATCAATTTTGTGTTGGGATGGGAGATCCAACAGAGAACCACTTCAGTGCTAAGAATGTATAAAAATGGTACTTTGTGTTTTGATTTTTGGAAGTCCTTCTTCCGCAGACAATTTAAGTCTAGCTGACTCCAGGGAGAAAAATCTGGGTACAGTTATGTGAACTGATCTTTCTAAAGTGACATCTCCGACAAGTGCTCATTAATGATACTTCTGCTATCACTAGTTTTCCTTCTTCAGTGGGATGATTTTCTTCACTGCTCCAAATTGGTTTGTAGCTCTGTAGAGGTA